TTGCTATGGGTACATATCATTTAGCTGTGAAATGCCACACAAGTAAAACTGATTTGGCTTCTGTGCTCACAAGAAATCCCTGCTAGCTAAGAAGCGCTGGGCTCATGCTTTGCCTTAAGCCTTCTGCAAAGAAGATGGCAAGAGACGTGCAATGACCCAACAAAGACAAACAGTGAGAGCAGAGGCCTTTTAATACACAGGACCAGAGAAGGAAGCCCGAGGGCCCAGCGTAACCAGAACTGTCAATGGACTTTGACAAATTAAACTTCCTGACACAATTTAGTGGACAAGAATTTATTGCTTCAAAGAATGTGGATTACGTAAATTGGGGATATAAAAGGATTCCAAAAGGATTACTGATGCTGCCACTGATGGGTGTAAATCTGAGATCCAGCCCTGTTGGAGGAACTTTGAACTGAGCAGAGGGGCTTGGCAGTGCCTCTTTTTTTCTCCATGGTTTCCAGAACTTTTTCCATCTCGCTGCTCCCCACAAAAAACACTACTACCGTTGTCAACATCAACTGTTCCTTCCACTTATTAAGTATTTACTGGCACCTTATCTGAATTAATGTGCATAATATTCCTATGAAATCCGTATGATGACCATGTTCTATTCACAGAGGAGAACGCTGAGATTTAGAAAGGTTAAGTGACTTGACCAAGGTCACACAGCGAGAAGTGTGGCAGACTTGGGATTTTAATTTAGGATTTTCTGACTCCAAAGCCATGCACATTTTTTTTTTCAAATGAATTTTTTATGGAAGTGCACAAATCATAGAGTGAACATACCCATGTAACCACCAAACAGATCAGGAAATGGAACATTATCAGCACCTCAGAAGGCCCTCCTGCCCATTATCTTCCTCAAAGGTAGCCACTATCTGCACTATTATCATCATGGATCACTGTTTGCCTATTTTGGAACTTTATTTTAGTGGAATTAGAGAGTCTAGGAGTGGAGTCTGCCTTCGTTTATAAGTGAGATTCATTTATGGTATTGTACATAGCAGTGGTTCGTTAATTATCATTGCTGTGTAGTGTTTGTTGTATGACTATCCCACAGTTTATCAATTTACTATTCATGGGCATTTGGTGGATTCTGGTGTTTAGTAATTTTGAATAACGCTGCCATGAACATTTTGCACATTTTTTTGGTATATAAATATGATTTATGATGAGCATATACCTAGGAGTGGAATTGGTGGGTAGTACATTTTATCTGACTAAGTTAGTTAATTTTTATGGCCCAAATAAATGCTTGGTAACTTTGTTGAACTGAATGGACATGAATACAAGTACTCTAGGAGTTTACAGTAAAATAAAATAATTGCGTGAGCTACAGTATCCAGGCAGGGTTAGCTAGATCATGAGAGGTTTCTCGGTAGATGTGTAAGGTTTGGATAGGTTGAAAGCAGAAGAAACTAAGTTAAGTTAGAGGAGAAAGCATGTGCCAAACTTGAAAGTAATGCCGGCAGGCATAGGAGACAATGAGGATACCAGTCTACCTGTAACAAGGGAATTGTCTTAAGCAGTAAGTACTAGGTGGATAGTGTGGAGCCATGTGGTGGAAAATGGGCAATATCAGATTGTGGGATGTTTATTTTCTTCTATGGGTAAAAGGGTTTTCACAGTACAGTTGACCCTTGAACTACACAGGAGTTAGGGGTGCCGACCCCTCCACAGTAAAAAATTAGTATATAATCTTTGGCTCCCCCAAAACTTAACTACTAATAACCTACTGTTTATTTTGGTTTTGTTTTTTTATTATTTATTTATTTATTTATTTATTTATTTATTTATTTATTTAGTAGTAGTAGTAGTTCCAAGTGTACAAAACAATGCAATAGTTATCCTTTTCATCCTTCACAAAGTAACAACCTCCTCCCCCCATCTACTGCCCTCCCAACCCCGATATCATATGTATCTATTACAATTCCATTGACTCCATTTCCACTCTCTACTCCACGTCCTGTGACTATATGTGTGTGTGTGTGTGTATATATATATATATATATATATATATATATATATATATATATATATATATAGTTGACATACAATATTATTCAACCTCAGCTTCAGAAATACAGTTCGGTGGTCAGGTCTCTACACTGTCTCTACAATGAAGTGGTCTCCCTAACAAGACATGAGTCCATCTGGCCACCTAAAAAATATTTACAATATTATTGATTATATTCCCCAGATTGTCTTTTCTATCCCTGAGGCCATATTGTAGTTAGCAGATTATATTGTCTCTTCCCTTCCCCTTCTCCTTCATCCCCACCCGCTCCCAACTAGCAACCATCAGTTTTTCTTCTGTGTCTCTGAGACTATTTCTGTTTACATTTCTCATTTATTCAGTTCTTTAGATTCCACATATAAGTGAGATCCTATGGTATTTGTCTTTCTCTGACTGACTTATTTCACTTAGCATAATGTTTTCTAGGTCCATCCGTATCGTTGCAAATGGAAGAATTTCCTTCTTCTTTATAGCTGAGTAATACTCCATTGTGTAAATGTACCATAGTTTCTTAATCCAGTCACCTACCGATGGGCATTTCGGTTGTTTCCAAGTCTTGGCTATTGTAAATAGCGCTTCAATGAACATAGGGGTGCATATATTTTTTCGAATTAATGTCTTGGGTTTTTCTGGATAAATACCTAAGAGTGGAATTGCTGGGTCATAAGGTAGTTCCATTTCCAGTTTTTTGAGATACCTCCATACTGATTTCCATAATGGCTGCACCAGTCTGCAGTCCCACCAACAGTGCACCAAGGTTCCCTTTTCCCCACAACCTCCCCAGCATTTGTTGTTTGTTGATTTATTGAAGATAGCCATTCTGACTGGAGTGAAGTGGTATCTCATTGTGGTTTTTATTTGCATCTTTTTAATGATTAGTGAGGCTGATAACCTACTGTTGACTGGAAGCCTTACTGATAACATAAACAGTCAATACACGTATTTTGTATGTATATTACATACTGTATTCTTACTGTAAAGTGAGTAGAAAAAATGTTATTAAGAAAATCACAAGGAAGAGAAAATATATTTACAGTATTCATTGAAAAAAATCTGCATGTAAGTGAACCCATGAGGTTCCAACCCATGTTGTTCAAGGGTCAACTATACTTCGGAATGTTAACAGAAGTTAAGCCAAAATAAATAAATAAGACACTGAGGTTTGGGAAACATTGATTCAAACAGATTTGTTTACTGCAAGATTTCTTTGAGCCTTTAAAGTATGCATTGCAAATTTCCAAAATTGTTTAAACTCAGCAAACTTGTGCTTATAAAGGAACAGTGCTTCTTGGAACATATTTTGGGAAATTGGGATATGTGGGCTTTGAGGAAACACTTGCTGGAATGTTACACTGGCATGAAAGGCCCGTGAAAGCTGGGGCTTCTTTGGTAATCACAGTTCTACTACTTGCACTGAGAACATCTAGCAAGAGTATTTTCTCAGTATATATTAATTGAATGAATTGTTGGTTTTAGTGGATGAAGGAAGAATTAGATCAGGGTGAAGTCTGTTTTTTGGCAAGATTAATCTGATAATATGGCATAGGACGGACTGTAAGGGAATGATACTAGAAGCTAAAATACCAAAAAAGGAAGAAGCTGTGAAGGTTGTCCAGGCCTAATACTTTTTTTTTGGATGGTGGTGACATCCTTGAAAATGGAAACTGAAATGAATAACAGTAATATTTTGTAAAGAGAATTGACAAGATTTGGTGATAGATTAGATGAAGGAGGAAGGAAGTTCTCAAATTACTCAAAGAGTTCGGATGGCTCTGAAGATGTTGGCGTCACTGTAGGGAGGAAGGAATTTCTGTACAAGACTTCATTGTTTCCTTCATGTAGCCCAGTGATCTGATGGATGTGGTCATGAAGGAAGTATCTAATTCCATGAAAACCTTGTGTTTGAGAACTTTCTGTGTAGAAAAAGATCACAAGTTTTCAAACAGGAACGCTAGGGATGGGAGAGAGTTTAAATGAAAACTACAGGGAAAAATACCCACAAAAATTCTATTTAAAAAACATCACACTGAGCTTGAATGGGAGCAAATATATTGTGCAAAGATTCTGACTTACCCCAAAGGCAACATTTTTTTCAGTTTATTAATTCTATGATATCTACATAGAAAATATGTTAATTAAAACATATGAAATTTATGGTAATGAAGATTAGATAATTATTTAGAGCTGCTTCTTTTCTAAAAGAAAGCAGAGCTTTCTAGGATTATAACAAGTGGGTCTGAGATTCGTTTGGGGAATGAATAGGCTGTGAGATTAAAAATGTAAGTTGTCTAGTCTAGACATACTAAGAGTCAAAACCTCAGCAAATGCAGACACCACCTTTATGTCTGATCAAACCTAATGAGTCCCAAGGAAGCTGACTTCTTCAACTCAATGGAAAAGGCAATGGATGGAATGGAAGCAGCACAGACCTCTCACATTCATAGACTTAGATTTAAATCCCAGGGGGGACTAAGCTGTTTCTTATCTTTTAGTCTACTTATCCATAAACTAGGAATAGTGATGATCTCACAGGTTAGTGGTGAGGATTAAATAAGATGTAAAATAACTAGTACCATAGGCACTATGCATACCTACATACATCAATGAACCAACTGTGCTGTAGTCCCTTAAACTCACCTCTGCCTTCCAACCAGATTTGCTTTCCATCTAAAAGTCCATTAATAGTGCATCTAGGGACCTTCAGAAATGGTACATTTGTGACAATGATAATTAGGAATGATAATGAACTTGGTGTAATAATGATTACCAGAAAATTATTCCAAAATATTTTGAAAGATTTTATGTGTAATGTATGGTAGTTGTAAGGGTCAAGTGTTGGTGGGGCTAGAAAAAAAATTGTCCTGCTGGAAAAATAGTTAAGTGTGTAGATAGTTATATCAAGATTCAAAATTAAATGAATCTAAATAGCAAAACAAGGCTTTCATTCATTGTAACTAACATTTCTTTTCCATTACACCAGTGAGAAGAAGCTCATTACAGATGCTCTTAATAAAAATCAGTTTTTGAAGAGACTGGATCCTCAGCAGATCAAAGACATGGTAGAATGCATGTATGGAAGGAGCTACCAGCAAGGGAGTTACATCATTAAGCAAGGAGAACCGGGAAACCACATCTTTGTGCTTGCAGGTGGGTTTCACAGAATTTTCCAGTTATCGTATAACAAATATTTTGCTTATTGTCTTAACGATTTTCTCAAACATTTAGTTTGCGAAACACAAAACAGTTTGCTCTGTTTATAGAAAATGTAACAGGTTGAGCTCGTGAAATAGTAACATTGTTGATCTAATCATGATGATAATACTTAATATTTACTGAATGCTTTCTATATATGTCAAGCATCCTATTGAGAACTTAATAGAGAGATCTCATTTCCTCTTCTCATCAACTTTATTAGGCAATGCTGTTATCTCCATGTTACTAACATGGATAAAGAGGTTAAATAACTAAGCCAAGGCCACACAGCCCCTAAGTGGTGGAGGTAGGATGCAAACTTAGGTGACCTGACTTAAGTGTCCATACTTTTAATCACAATGCCACTCACTCAACAACTATAAAAAGGCGTTTTCATTAAAATACTGCTACTTATGTTGGTATTTTTAGGTGGTTGTACTAGAAAAAGAAAACTGTTATTTTTTTGGTTCTGTGAAATATTTAGTTATATTTAGTTACCAATAATTTAGAAAGATAATTTAGGTACATTTAGCCAACAGACAAATCAAATGGAACACCTTAAAACTAAAACTGGTGTTTTTAGAATCATTTAAATAGTTTCCTTCATCTATGAGCACTTGAACAAGCTTACGTGCTGGGAAGATTATAACAGATAGGCAAAGGATTTATTTCTCAAATGCATGTCAAATACGTAAGTCTTATAGCTGTACATGAAAACATGTTTTTTAGATATGGAAGCAAGAAATTATCTGAATAGTGCTTGTGGTTATTGAATGCCCTATATAATTTTGAATTCCCCCTACTTTTTGAGTTTTAAGGAAAAAGTTAAACTGGCTTACCCAGATGGAGTGGTAAACTGAGATGTGCATGACCTTCTATTTTGCATTATAGTTCCTGGCAATCTAAGCAATGCTTTTTTTTTAAAAAAAAATTCATTTAAAAATTACTTTTATTTTAGCCTTGCAATAATCATAATACAAGCTCATTTACACATATCTCTTAAACAACACATATTTCTTAAACAACACATATCTCTTAAACAACACGAATGCCAGAATAAATGTATAAGCTGCATATTAGCTAAAATTACAGATTAATAAAATTTAAGTTAACATTAATGTGATGGATGATGTTTAGTTTTTCACAAAGTTGCTTTTTACAGTTAGGCTCTGAGTTTGACATGTTCCAGCGAACAGTTGGCTCTCGCCACTTCTTCAGCAATGCTTTTATGATTCTTGTTTACTTGGGATCTTAAGTGAGGGTCAGAAGTTGTCTATCCAAACAAATTAATAAACATGTATTATTCTATTTATAGTATATAAAAGATTTTTTAATTTATTTTAAAATATTTTAATTAAAATATAGCTAACATACAACATTATATTAGTTTCAAGTATACACTGTAGTTATTTAACATTTATGTACCTAAGGAAGTGATCACCAAGATAAGTACAGCAACCATCTGACACTGTATCATACTATAATAATATTATTGACTATATTTCCTATGCTGTACATTACATCCTCAAGACTTATTTGTTTTATACCTGGAAATTTGAACCTCTTATTCCCCTTCACTTTTGTTCCCCTTTAGAAATTTTTCAGTTACAATTGACATTCAGTATTTTATATTAATTTTAGGTGTACAGCATTTGGTTAGACATTTATATCATTTAAGATATGATCCCCCTGACTAGTCTAGTACCCACTTGGTACTATACATAATTATTACCGTATTATTGACTATATTCCTCATGCTTTACTCCACATCCCCATGACTATCTTGTAACTACTAACTTGAACTTCTTAATGCCTTCATCTTTCTCACCCTGTCCCCCAACTCCCCTTTCATCTATCACCCCAATAAACCTAGTACACATCTGACACCATACATAGTTATTATAATATCATTGACTACATTTCTTATGCTATACCCTACATCCCCATGACTACTTTGTAACAACCAATTTGTACTTCTTAATCTCTTCCCCTTTATCCCACCAGCCCCCTCCCATCTGGCAGTGATCAAAATGCTCTCTGTATCTGTAAGTTTGTTTCTGTTTTGTTTGTTTGTTTTGTTTTATTTTTTAATTCCACATATAAGCAAAATCGCATTGCATCTGTCTTTTTCTGATGTAACTCCACTCAGCACAGTACCCTCCAGGTCCATCCATGCCACCGCAGATGGCAAGAACCCGTTCCCTTCCATGGCCGAGCAATATTTCATTATAAATATGTACCACTTGCCCGTTATCCATTCATTTATCGATGGACACCCAGCCTGCCTCCACACCTTGGCCATTGTAAACAATGCTGCAATGAACATATGGATGCACATGACCCTTCAAAGTTGTGTTTTGATTTCTTCAGATAAATATCCAGAAGTGGGATTACTAGGTCCTTCTTTGTCTCATGTTATAGTATTTATTTTAAAGTCTATTTTGTCTGATATGAGTATTTCTACCCTATCCTTTATTTTCCATTTCCATTTTCATGAAATATTTTTTTCCATCCCTTTCCTTTTAGGCTGATATGCCTTTCGATCTGAAGTGAGTCTCTTATAGGCAACATATGTAAGAGTCTTGTTTTCTTATCCATACAGCCACACTATCTTTTGATTGGAGCATTTAACCCATTTACATTTAAAGTAATTGTTGATAGATATGTAGTTATTGCCATTTTATTATTCATATTTTTTATTTATTTATTTTTTTCAGTCTTAAAGGAGTTCCTTTAAGAGTCTTTGTAATACTGGTTTGGTGGTGATAAATTCCTTTAGCTTTTTCTTGTCTGAAAAGCTCTTTACATGTCCTTCAATTCTAAATGATTGATAGCTTTGCTGGGTAGAGTAAATTTGGCTGTAGAAGATTGTTTTTATATACTTTGATTTTTTAAACAACCCAGTTTCATAATTATTGGTTTGTTATTTGCCATGTACATCTTCGTAGGCACTCTTAAAATTATACAATCATTCCCAAGTAATTGTTTTACCCTTGAGATTGATTATAGTCTTCATTGAGCCAGCGTTCAAGTTTTTGGGGCCGGTGATCCAGAGCAATTTGTCTCTCAGTTTTTTTCTTGGCCGTTTCACTTCTACTTTAGCAACACAAGAACATTCTTGCAAGAGAAGATAGGTCATTAAGTCAACAAATATTTATGGAACCTACTAGGAAAGGATGAGAAACTCAAGTCAGCCTATCTCGTTCCTTGCTAGTCAGTAATTCTGATGAAAAGCTTGGGGAGAGAAGAGTTTGATCAGAGGTGAGCGTTAATACGGTCATTTAAATCAAGGCTGTAGCACACATGGAAATGAAAATGAGATAGTTTTTTATTTGAATTCATTATGGTGTTACCTAAAGACTGACTTGCCTGATTTAATTGATTAGCAAATTAATTTAATTAAAAATCTCCCTTTATAAAATATCGCATGAATAACAATAGTAAATTATATTTAGCTTAAATGTTTGATATTGCATATATTTCTTCAGTATTGCCCAAGGCCTATGAGCCATAACCAATTAGGAAAAAAACAAAAAAACAAAACTTGAAATGCATTAAGATCCATGACACCAACTTGACAGTATCATTAAGTGGCTTCAAAGGAATTTAATTTAGTTGTGATGAGAAATTATTAAATTTTTCATATCTAATTTGTAGGATTTGGAGTCAAAACAGACTTTAAGTTCTATCAGAATCAGTATCTTTTCTGTTTTGTCCACTCTGTCCACCTCCGGCACCTGGACCAGTTCCTGGTAGAACACAGGTGCTCACATCAGGTTTGTACAATGAATAGATGGATGGACAGAAGCAATCTAGAGCCACTTCATGGTGAATTAGGAGAAGGAAATTTTTCAAGGGAAAGAGAATAACCCTATCATTTGCCTCCCTCTAAGAACATAGGTCTTTTTTGCATATGATTTTGGTTAGGTAAGGTTTTATTTGCATTTGCTCAATGGGAAAAGAAAATAGAATTTGCAGGGCAAAAAAAAAAAAAAATTGTGAGAAGGTTGCCTGAAGTGCTACCTCTCCTTCCCCCAGCCTTTGCACACATAAAGATTATTGTTAAGCACTCTTCTTTTTTATTTTTTATGATTTTATTTTTTTAAGAGTAGTTTTAGTGTTAACAGCAAAATTGAGAGGGAGATATAGAGATTTCTCATATATTCCCTACTCCCACACATTCATAGCCTCTCCTATTATCAACATACTCACCAGAGTGGTATATTTAATATATATATATTAAGGATGGTAGTATATTGATACACCATAATCTCCCAAAGTTCATAGTTCACCTTAGGGCTCATTCTATGGGTTTAGACAAATGTATGATGACATATATTGTTCATTATAATACCATACAGAGCATTTTCATTGTCCTAAAAATCCTCTGTACTCTGCTTATTTATCTCCTCTCACCCCACCTCTGACAGCCACTGATCCTTTTATTTTATCCATAGTTTTCCCATTTCCAGAGTGTCATATACAGTTGGAATCATGTAGTATGCAGCCTTTTCAGATTGGCTTCTTTCACTTAGTAATATTCATTTAAGATTCTTCAATGTCTTTTCATGGTTTGATACCTCATTTCTTTTTAATGCTGAATAATATGCCATTGTCTGGATGTAGCACAGTTTATTTATCTATTCACCCACTGGAGGACATTTTGGTTGCTTTGAAGTTTTGGCAGTCATGATTAAGCTGCCATAAAAATCCATGTGCAGGTTTTTGTGTGGACGTAAGTTTTCAGCAATTTTGGGTCAATACCAAGGATATTATGGTAAGAATATGTTGGGTAGAATGGTAAGAATGTGTTTAGTTTTTGTAAGAAACTGCCAAAGTCTTCGGAAAGGGCTGTACCACTTTGCATTCCCACCAAAAATGTATGGGAGTTCCTGTTACCCCACGTCCTCATCAGCATTTGGTGGTGTCAACTTTCTGGATTTTGGCCATTCTAGTAGGTGGATAGTGGTTATCTCGTTTTAATCTGCGTTACCCTGATAACATACATGACTTGGAACATCTTTTCATATGCTTATTTGCCATCTGTATATCTGCTTTGGTGAGTGTCTGTTAAGGCCCTTGGCCCATTTCTCAGCAGGGTTGTTTTCTTATTGTTGAATTTCAAGAGTTCTTTGTATATTTTGTACAACAGCCCTTTATCAGATGTGTCTTTTGTAAAAACATTTCCTCCCAGCCTATTTTGCCTTCTGATTCTCTTGATATTGTCCTCCTGGAGCACTCTTCTTCGTGACTTCCATTTATTAGCTCATTTCACTGAATGAGGGGTTAAACAGCTTATGGGGCATAGGAAAGCCACTTACCCAAGGCACACAGCCTGTGACTTGTCGGGCCAGGCAGTCTGACTGCTGGGCCAGCACACATCTCAGTTACGGCGATTCATCCCTCTGTCAGTGTAAACAGCCGTGCTGTTTTCAACACACATTAATTGTGTTTCTTATACAAGAGAAGTCATTTCTTGTGCTACATTTTTCATGGGGTTGAGTGAATTTTAAATAAGACACTTGCCATCCACATGGCTCCAGAGAAAGAATTTTGTAGCAATGATAATGTTAACAATAGTTAACCCTTCCATGGCATTAACTATGTGCTAGCCATTGCTTTATGTTCCCTACCTATATTAACTTATTTATAACTGACAAGAGCATGAAGTAAATATTAGTGTTATCCCCATTACTGACAAGGAACTTCAGGCAGGGAGGGTAAGTCTCTCATGGCGAACCAGCTTAACAAAGTGGCAGAGCTGGTTTCAGTCTGCACTCTTAACTACTTTATTATCATGAGAATCATAAAATAACTGTATTACTTGTTTTTTTTTTTTAAATTCTACTTGACAGAGGGCCGATTAGAGGTGTTCCAAGGTGAGAAATTGCTATCAGCCATCCCTATGTGGACCACATTTGGAGAATTAGCCATTTTATACAACTGTACAAGGACCGCCTCCGTGAAAGGTAACAGGAGAGGCAACGCTGTATTTTGAAATTGTTACACAATGTTAAAGATAACCTAGTTCAGTCACTGTTGCACCCTGATTCAGTTGTTTTGTCTCCTATTGTGTCCCATATGCTCTTGTTAATAGTTACAATACTATGCTTAGAAAAAGATTTTCATTAAAGCACTTGTCTAAATAATTCAAGTTTAGAAGAACTTTTCCATCAGATACCTGTATATAAAATATGAGCATATTTTTAAAACGAATGATTCCAATATTTGCTTTAATTGCCCTTTCACTTTTTTACTATGTAGACATCTGCCTTTGCTCATCCTGAATGTTTGCTTTCCATTCTCTATAAGGTTCTGACCATATTATAAACTAGAAAAATTAATTAAACCAATGAAAATGTGTAAATGTCAAAAGAGATGTGCATCAGTTAATGAGAATTTTCACGAATGACTTTTGAGATTAGTTTGTTTCTCCTTAAGGTTCCTGTTTTGACTTTATTCAATTTTATGTTTTCTTCTGAATTACTTAGATGTGGTATTTCTCAGGGTTTGGGACTGGGTTATGTGTCTCAGCTTTGCTGCAGTGTTTGATAAAAATGCAGGTTTAGGGCTTCACTCCAAACCTGAATCAGATCTCTGGCAATGGGGACCAGGAACCTGTATTTTTAACAAGAACGTCAAGATAATTCTAATTCTCTCAAAGATCCTTAAAATATATTGGCTCTCTTTAGCAACAATGCCTAAATGACATAAGAAGACACTCATACACCCAGTGATCTTTAATTTTCAATTATCTGCTTGTGAATTTTTCTCTGTCTGGATTAGCTCCAGGCTGGCTGGCTTTCTCTTGTATCACAGCACAAATCTGAAATACATCCTGATGATGTCGTGCGTAATTGGGAATTGCAAAGTAATTTTAATATCATCCTAAGCAAAACATAATTAGAAAGGAAATCTTTTGCGCTCATTTCCAAACCATGGTTCATATGAAAGCCAAAAATGATTTTATAAAATTACCCACTATTTACATCACTTCTTCCTTTCATTTATATGTTTAAATAATGCATTTTTTCCAAGAAATATCATTTTATGAGAACATAGAAAAATGTTTTGATTCACAGTTTTTAGTATTTTCTTAATGTGGGAATACATAGTGTTTTATGATTTTCTTGATTTTTTTTTCTCCTGAAGCTATTACAAATGTTAAAACTTGGGCACTAGATCGAGAGGTATTCCAGAACATAATGAGAAGGACAGCTCAAGCGAGAGATGAACAGTACAGAAACTTCCTCAGAAGGTAAGAATACCACATTGGTAGAAAGAGAAGATTGTGTAGACATATTGTGGATATGTTGAGTTTATCAGAATAATTACTTCACTATAGCTTCTCTTACTTAAGCATTTTCCACATGATTAAACCAGAAGTGGTATTCCCTTGCAGTAAATGCCACTATATATAACATTTTATATTTAGTTCCCATTAGCCTTGTGTCCTAATTTATTTCTCCTGCTAATTTCGCCCTTGTATTGATGGAGTCATTTCATATAGTATAGAAAAATGTGCCAAAATCCTAAAATATTCACCTGGGGTGCTCAGTTGACACTGAAAGATACCCTTATTTTGGAAGAAGAGAGCAAAAGGTAATCTTTCTAATAATGCTTTGCTTAGGATAATATTAACATTAATTTATTTTGCTTTCCTTACTTGCTTTACCTGACACATTTTTTTTTCTCATTCGCATAAATCCACCATCTCCCAGATTACTATGTTTGTAGGAAATTAACATGTCCAAAGTGTTACTATGTTTGCCATGATGGCACGGGTTCTTGGAACATGCTCATTTTGTGAACTGTTCTATACCCCCAAATATTTGGATACATCAAATTATAGAGAAACAAATACCTATGTAACTAAAAGTCAGCCATACATTGAAAATGTTTTTAGCAAGTGTAAGTTCCCTATTTAAACTATTTCTGTGTCTTTTGTGGTAGTTTTGACAGTCTCTGAAGCTGTAATGCATATTGTAATGAACTGATACCTACGATAAGTGGTAACAATAATACAATATCTTGCAGTTTCCAGAAATAAACTCTAAGTTCTTTATAAGTATAGTGATTTTATCTTGCATGCAGAGCTAGCCTGCAGAACCAATGATTTTAGGGCTGTACAGTGCCTCGCATAGAGAGAAGACTCAGTGCATATTGAATGAACACATGTTGATCAGTGGAACATTGCAGGCGTTAAGGTTTCTCACATAAATTCTTGCTGATTTACTCTCCCAGAGCCAATAGTGACTCCTGGCAGAGAGCTGCATTTATGACAAGCAGATGCCTTACCTTTATGCCAACCAATGCCTTAGCAATTTGAGGTCTACCTGAGTATAGGTGATCTCAAAATCCAACAACTGAACAATGCAGGTCAGCATTTAAAGCTAAAGAACCACACTTATGCAAGGGCAAAAAAGGGATAAATAAATTAACCAGTGCCATGGGTTGCATTTGAATGTCTGAGGTCAAACCTGAACCTTTAGGTAGAGCCGTTCCTTCTCTTGGAGTCTAGTATGCTCTGTCTTAGTGGAAGGAGCTGAGAGAATTTAGTAGTATTTATCCCTTCCTTCCTTTTTTTCCTTTCCTTTCTTTTGTTATCTCATTCCTGCATTCATTCAACACTTACTGCCAAGCCCCAACATTGTGGATTCCATGGCCAACAAGATAAACCTGCTGTCTGCTTTCTGTAGCAGGGAAACAGACCAAAGAGTTTTCCTCCCATCAATTTCCTCACCAGTCCCCAAGAGTATTGGTTTCCAGAGGAGAATTTTCACTAACGTTGTAGATTCCAGTGTGGACTAGAAGTAGAACTTTCACAATGGGCATGTTAACCAATGACAGATTCTGGTTACCCTTTTACCTTTTCATAGATAAGAAGACTTATTAGAGAAATATATCCCTCTTTGTTTCATAATACACAGTAAGCTCTTTCTCTTTTCCATTTACATCTTTTTATTATGAAGTATGCGATGTATATACAAGATACATAGTACATATGTAATTTATAAAACACAATAATAACAAAATGAGCACCATTGATTTACTGGCAGGCCAAGAAAGTAGAAAGTTAGCAATGTTCTTGGAGTTCTCGGTGCTCCCACCCACCATTTCCCACTCTCCTTGGGGTAGTCTATATTCTGAAGTTTAGTGCTAATCATTCCCTTGGTATTCTTTATTATTTTACCTATAGCTTGATTTAGCCTATTTTTGAATTTTATAAAAGTGGTGTGTGCTTGCAACTTATTATTATTATTATTATTTTTAAAGATTCATCAATTTGGTTAGTTCAGTCATTTCTCTTGTAGAGTTCTACTATCTGACTCTATCACAGTGTATTTATCTGCTCTCCCATTGGTGGATGGGAAGGGGAGAGAGTTCCAGTGTTGGGCAATTACAGATGATTCTAATGCAAACATTCTTATATACTCTCCTGGCTACGTGCCTCCCCGTGCACATGTGCCAGGGTCAGCCTGGAGCTCTTTTTTCAAAAATCAAATTCAATCATGTGTATTTGGAACAGCATCATTTTTTCCTTAGGTGTGTCAAATTTTAGATGACAAGAACAACATATTTATCTTATAGAAATTTTATGAACAGTCCTGAGTAAAAATGAATAAAGTAGAGGATACATTTCTCTAATAGAATAATTTAATCATATTGATTGGTTAATTATATGGAGTGGAATTTCTGATTTTTTTTTCAAATAGTTTCAGTATCCTATTTCATTCAATGTATATTATTATTATTATTTTTAAAACGTGTTTCTATTACACACCTCTGGCTATCATTAATTTTAAAATACAGGATAGTATGACTAATAATCAAAGATCATTTCCATGCTAATTCCTGCATTTCCCCCTGGATTCAATCTTCACTTAATTACAAGGGTTTAGATGAAAATCTGGTCTGGAAGCAGAGCTCCTCACCCAGGCTAATGAAAGGTATTGAGATGTGGAGAGAAACACATTTCCGAAAGTGATTCCGCTTTGAAAACCAACAATAAATGGACTATGTTTTTTACCCTGAACAGACAAAATTTGATTTTTCCCTTATTGGTATCCTGCTATTTTTATTTATTTGCCTATGATAAGTATCTGTGATTATATGTGTTTATGTAATTTCAGTGCATTTGAAATTCAGTTATTTATGTGTGATAAATTTGGAGGTTTACTCCAAAAATGAAAGTGCGTTTTTAAATGCATGTAAAGGTTTTTGAATCTACATATATGTTTGTGTTTATAATTTAATTCAGTAAGATAATGAAATAAATGCTTCTTTTTCATTTTGAAGTGTATCCTTGCTGAAGAATTTACCTGAGGACAAATTAACCAAGATCATTGACTGCTTGGAAGTGGTAAGCAATTTTAAAACAAAAAATACATTTTGTTAAGGGATTATATAATCTAGTCATTATTAACACTGTAGATGAATAAAAAGGAAAAGATGGTACATCACCAGTCTACAGAAACCAGGAGCCTTTTTCTATTGTGAAAAATATTAGGCCCATTCATACTGAATTAAGGGATTGGGATGGTTTGTAGGCTATTCTTCTGAAATGTATAAAAGGAAGTTGGATTTGCATGTGCAAAATGGCATTTGATTTACATATTTTAATCTTTTTAGTATATTTTATAAAACTAATCTGCCTTAAGAAGCATTTGATTTTCTGCGATTAACATCACAATCCCTTACAGAGTTTTCATAGTATAAAGGAGTCAGTGATGCATAATTAGGAAATGGAGTATAGAAAGGGTATATTGGAGCTTTTGGTGACAGGCTTCTGAATCAGGCTATGAAACCCTCCATACGTGAAAACTCTAGGCCATGAAATGACATTAGGAAAAAACAAAACAAACAAAAAAAACCAATAACACTGCACTTAAGAAGCACCTTACCTATTTTAACATCTAGGGAAAAATGGCATGTTGAAATGTGTTCAAAAACTTCTGTTAGGTATCACCCAGATGGTTGGTTCTAGTCCAGGACTAGTCAAGTCTTTTTGTGAATGATGCTTTTATGACATGTACCTGGGATTCCAATGATATGCATTATATGAAAATCTCTTCAGATTTCAGAGGTTAAAATTCAAAGCAAATAACCTCTCCCTAACTTTTTGGGGGGTCAATTTCACTGAAAGTAAAATAGCTTTTCTGGAATGTAAAGGAGGTAAGGCATAGTAAAGGAGTCGCATGCAGACTCGAAGCTTTTATAAAGCTGTTCTCAACAGGAGACCAAAAAAAAAACCAAAAAAAAACACACAACCCTGCAAGACCCATTGTTGACAGATTTATGCCTCTGTCAATCACAACATGCAATGTAAACTAATATATGTTGAGAAGGGAGCACTGACCGTTTTATCCAAAAGTGTAAGTGACACCAGTAATGTTTCCATTTACAATTCATGGACCCCATCCAGCAGCTTATCGAGGACAGGCCATGATGACACAGTGCCTGGCCTTGTGTCCCAAGAGTGTTCAGATATGAAGTCATTTGCAAGAGGACGGCTTACCCTGTATCTCTTGGGATTCTCCCAGTGTAATTTAACCCAATCACAGATGTTGCAGATTAATAATTCATCCTAATTTCTGAGAGTGTTGTTCTTCTTTTTCAAAGCTGGAGAGGCTCTATATTTCTTAGTTAACTGAGAGAATCTGTTTTTAATATAATACTAATAGAGTAGATTCACCAGAGGGGCATTCCATGCTGACAGCAAATATTAAAATGTAGTATCATTAAAAATAAATGGTAAATTAGACATATTTATAGCAGCCACAGGCAACCACTACAGAATATATAGACAGGTTTCGGGGGGGGGGGCTCAAATCCAGTATTAATGAACACACAATTCGAGTTTGAAAGTCTCATCTTTTAAAAACCCTAGAAAGGCTTTATTATATCTCAGCATTTGCAGACAGCAGCACAGTTTATAAAGGACTCTTTCTTCATACCTGGCAAACAAATGTGACTCTGTAACATGTGAAAATCCCCACATGCAAGACAGTGATTAACAAGGGAGTAATGGGATCTATTTAGTGCTAAGAAAAGCACAGTATTTACCAGCTAGCTTGTACTAATGACCCATCAACAGCGTCCTGACAACAGCCAATCACCAATGCATCAGAGTGGTGATAGAATGCCGCTGCCGCCCTGCTGAGTTCCAGGACCAGCTGTGCCACAAACTGGCTCCATAATCTTTGAGAAAAACAGGCTGAACCTGGCATGCTGTTTCGGAGTTGATTTGGGAGTTTTTAAAATTTTTGTGTGGGGCGGGGAAGGGGGATCTGATGTGTTTGTTAAGACTTTGACTGTTGAACTCCTAGGGCAAATGGCCCCAATCGTGCAGTGTTCGGTTACACTTCTTGCTTTAGCTTAGA